CTGTAGGACACAGGACACATCCCTCACTGTAGGACACAGGACACATCCCTCACTGTAGGACATAGGACGCATCCTCCAGTGTAGGACACAGGACACATCCCTCACTGTAGGACATAGGACGCATCCTCCAGTGTAGGACACAGGACACATCCCTCACTGTAGGACATAGGACGCATCCTCCAGTGTAGGACACAGGACACTTACATTCATTCAGATTTATTTGTATTTCCTGTCTCCTTTGATCTGGTAAATATCGAACATCTTTCATGGTTGAACTAAAGTGTAACTGGGGGTTTTGTTTCCTCTCCTGAACTTTTCCCAGTTTTCCTCCCGTTTTGGACCCTTAGTTTTCCTGTTTCCTCCTCCTTGCAGTGAACAGTTACGGTGATGAAGACGATGATGTCAGCAGCTCCTCTGACAGTGAAGACGAGGTGCTGAAGCAGTTTGAGATCTCAGTGTCGCGCTCTCAGAGTTTCCGTTCTGCAGCTGCTAACGTCGGCCTGGACGTGTCCCACAAAGCTCCGCTGCAGTTGGGTCGGCGCCACAAGTTCAGCCGCCTGTCAGACCAGGAGGAGGGCAGCACTGAGCCCTCGGACTGTGAAGGTACACCAACCTAACCCTTCCAGGTGTTGTCACCTCCCAGCTCTGACCGACTCTCCTCTGATGCTGCAGAAMCTGTCTGAAGTGACGTTCTGCTCGTCAGCTGCTCCACAGCTCAGAGCTGGAGCTGAGCTCATGCAGACTCTGCTGGGTCTTCAGGGTGGTCAGGACTTAGGGACTCACCAACACATGAMGTGCACACAGACATCAGTAGCTCTCCTTCACACCTGTGCTTCCTTCCAGCAGAGATGGAGGCTCCGGGCCAGCAGGTCTTCCTGGACCCGCTCTGCGTGCTGGAGGAGACCAGTGTGAGGACGTCCACTCTGTCTCTGGACAAACACGTAGAAGACAAAGCGTCCAGAAGCGGGGACAGTCCCAGCCTGAGTATGAGCCGGCAGGCTGCAGACGGCAGCGAGGACGCAGAGGACCCTTTGGATCAGAACCAAGATGCTGCTGCAGACAGCTCAGAGGTACTGCAGCCTGACATCATCATCAGCCTGGTATGTAGCTGCATGGTGACATGTTCTGACCCATGTGTTCCAGCTGAAACCAGCTGTCCTCCAGGACGTGTCCTCTCAGCCGGAGTCTTCTTCCCCTCGCACCCCCATATCAAAATGTGGAGACCTGGTCCTGTTTCTGGAGTACCGGCCCGACTCGGAGAGGCTGCAGGTCACGGTGAAGTCTGCCCGGGACATTCCGGACAGGGCTCGCAGCGGCATGGACTCCTGGCAGGTGCACCTGGTCCTGCTGCCGTCCAAGAAGCAGCGCCACAAGACGTCGGTGCAGAAAGGCTCGCTGCCGCTCTTCAACGAGACCTTTCGCTTCTCGCGCCTGGAGCCCCCGGACCTGCAGGGGTCCGCCCTCAGGTTCAGGCTGTACGCGCTGGGAGGACGGATGTCCCGCGAGAGGATGATGGGGGAGAAGGTGCTGCGTCTAGCAGGGCTGGACCCAGACGGGGGGACGATGGAGACCACGCTGGTTCTGGAGCCTCGCAGTAACCTGAAGGTGAGACTCACTCGGAGCCTTGGATCAGAACTCGTAGACCCGCTTCACTCTGTGTGTGTCCCTGCAGAGTCTGGACTCCCAGCTGAGTCTGTCCGCCGTGTCTCAGAGCGACAGCGCCTCGTCCACCCAGTCTCTGACCCACGGCGGTGTCCCCGAGCTGCTGCTGGGCCTGTCCTACAGCGCCACCACAGGACGCCTGTCTGTGGAGCTGATCAAAGGCAGCCACCTCAGGAACCTGGCAACCAGCCGACCTCCAGGTCTGCAGACACACAACTACARACAACTCAGAGACCCACAAGCACGCAACTCAGAGACCCTCAGAACCATAGATGGTCCAGTCTGAACAGAACCAGTCCCGTTAACCCACTACAGACACAATCCTTAGAGTCTTTATAGTTCTGACTCAGTTTTACAACTTTGATTGATTGACTGACTGACTGACTGATTGATTGATTGATGTCTTTATTGTCACTGTACGGAGCACAATGAAATGACATTAAAGAACACCTGTTGAAGAAGACACACACGACAAACATGGAGGATCAGTGATCAGGTCATGCAGTAACCAGCAGGGGTCACACTTCCTTTAAAAAGAAAAACTAAAAACCACAGAAGGTTAGATGAGGAAAAAGAAAGGTGTCACACTGTGGTGTTTATATAAAACTCTACAAGCAAAGAACACGTTTATTATCCAGAGGAGCAGTGAGTTTGGAGGAAAAGTATCTGAAGCTTTGATTGTTGTTTGAGAATCTGAAGAAAGTAGAAACTTTGAATCAGATAAAACACAAACAATCYTACTTGTGTTAGCTACATGCAGACAACACTGCAGGTTTGGTTCTGGTGGTCATCTGGACCTGTTTAGTCCTCAGCAGAACCATCCTTTCTTTGTAGAACATTAAATAAAATGATTTTACAGATTTTATGATGTATTTGTTTAAAAAAAAAACTAAGTTTTAGCCCCAAAACCTCCATCCCAACCCTACCCCTACCCCTACCCCTACCCCTACCCCTACCCCTACCCCTACCCGCTTTATGAAGTGTCAGAAAATGTTTTAGTAGTCTGGAACCCCCAGAGTAAATCCTCCTCCTCCTCCTCCTCCTCCTTCTCCTCCTCCTCTGCAGACACCTACGGGCGGCTGACGCTGCTGAACTCTGTGGGTCAGGAGATTTCTCGCTGCAAGACGTCGGTGCGCCGCGGCCAGCCCAACCCGGTCTACAAGGAGACCTTCATGTTCCAGGTGGCGCTGTTCCAGCTGTCCGACYTCACGCTGCTGGTCTCCATCTACAACCGCCGCAGCATGAAGAGGAAGGAGATGGTGGGCTGGGTGGCGCTGGGCCAGAACAGCAGCGGCGAGGAGGAGCAGCTCCACTGGCAGGACATGAAGGAGGCGCGAGGACAGCAGGTCTGCCGCTGGCACGTCCTGCTGGAGGCGTAACTCCACCCACTGGGCGGGACTTCCTGGTTTCRACCTGCAGGTTCTACAGGTGCAGGGGGCTGGGTCTGATCCACCTTCAGAGGCTGACAGACTGAAGCCCTGAGGAGTTTACCTTCCTTTACCTTCAGAAACTCCTCCTCCTCCTGACTCTGCTGTCAATCACTGAGCTGAAAGCTGATTGGTCGGGACTCAGAGTCCCAACATCCAAAGATTGATCTGTTCCACACGTTCACACACAGCAGAGTTTACACTTATTTTCACCTAAAACATCACATTTAGTCAGAAATATCATTTTAATTTAAGGATGGGTCAGAGAGTTCTTCAGAGCTCAGCCTGGGTTTGGGTCTGACTGTTGGAGACAAARCATGAGGAGTTTTTCATCTTGCTGTGGAGCTGCAGGCATGTTGAACATTAACGCACCTGAGTGATGGTTCTGCAGAGCTGCAAACACGTCTTTATGGACCGCTGACAGAAGGCGACGCATGTTTTAATCTAATCTTTTGTTTGGGTTTTTATAAATCTGCAAATGGAAAACAAAACTGCTGTGATGCTTTGATGCATGTTCACCTTTAAAACTGAACCCTTCAAATAAAAATAAGTCCGACTAAAGAAACAACCAAAGCTTTTGTTTAAAGAATCAAACCTAATGATCCAGATGATGYACAGTTAATGAAGCAGGTTTGCTTGTAGTTTTGCAATAAAGAACCAGAGAAAATCTGACTGAAGTCAAGCTCCTGTCAGAGGATCAGGAAGACTACGGCAGGGTATGAGGGCCAAAATTAAGACTAKTGCACAACCAGCAGTTACTACATCCTTGTATCAGGAGGTTATATCTGTTCCTAAACCAGTTATTGATCTGATTAATGATAGGCCGACACCACTAACTGAGAGGCTGGAGCTGCAAATGAGGAGTTCTGTTCCACGGTTAGAATGACCTGTCATGGCCCAAATAAGGTTCAGAGTTTCTGTCGTTTTTAAAGGCCTGTCCGAGGCCTATTTAGAGGCAGAAAATCTTGTTTTCTCACTTAAGGTGACCCCTGCACAGCCTGAGTCATTTCTACCTTCTCCTCTCTGTCAACGCTCTCTGGTTTCATTTAAAAGAGTCGATCATCAGATATTGTCCAAGATTAACC